ACCTTGAAGGTGGTCCATGGGCTTTGCTGCTCACCCAGCGGCGGCACACGTAAGCGCTTCATTGCCTTCTGTCGATCGCCGCCCTCAATGTCGTTGGTGAAGGCGCGCTCCGTTTCCTGTATGAGCCGATCGATGTCCTTGTTGACATAGAAATGCGCCGCCTCCACATACTCCTCACGCCACTTGACACCATCGCTCACATTCAAGAGCTTATCGTGCTTCTTGAGTATCTTGCGAAAGCCCGTAAAATTCAAATTCTGGTAGTTTTGCAACAAAATCAAACCCAAATAAAATTCACTAAATGCCAATTTGAGATCCTGTATCTTGCGCGCAGGTACATTCTTCTTGCCCAAGGGCGTCTTGGACTTCCAAGCCGGTTGCTTCTTCACAGTGCCCATCTCGAGCGTCTCGCTAAGCTCACTACGGAGATTGCCATATTTGCGTGTAGCCTCCGCCATTTTTTCTGAGTAGAAAGTATTTATTTTGGCCAACTCTTTGTCGCAGTAATGGAAAAATTGCTCATCGAATTTGGCAAAGTAACGCGACAGCACCTCCGGATCGACGAGCTCTGCGGAGGGAGCCTGCTCCACGGCCGCATAAAGCATAGCCTTCATTTCCTGTTGTTTGCGGTGAAAGTAAATGGGCATAAAAAAATTTGAAAATAAACGAGTATATAAGTAAAAGAGAAAGTATATAAGAATAGAAAGAAGCGTTGCTTTAACATAGCACATGAGTGTTTCTAATTTTCTCGTATAGTAGCGTAAAATTGCTTTGCAACCCACCAAATCGGCCACTGATGTACACACAATGATAATCTGGGTTTGTAAGTATGTATATATGTCTTAAGTACATAAGCACTCAGTGAAAGTTACCCCTCCCCGGCTATTTGCAAAAGCTCGCTTTGTTTACATGCATTGTTTGTAAACGAATTGGCCAAAAACATGTGATTTTCACTCTGTTTACATCTCAATCTTCTAAACACTCTGCAACACGTGTCTCTTGGTGGTCATGCGCAGCACACCAAACACTTTTTTGCGCCAAAATATAAGCTCGTCACTTTGACAACTACCTTCTGGGCTTTCATGACGTCACCCAACCCATTGACAGCAGCTGTCATCGACCGCCCACCAGCTGTACCAGTATCTACAATATTTTCACTTTACACTGACCAACATCCGAAAACGCAAATAAGATTCATCCTCCGAAATGCGACTCATACCTCGTAGTTTATGTATTGTTTTCGCCATTCCGGTGTTATATGTGCGCTCAAGTGTTCGGCAAATTTCATTTTAATGCGCGATTTATATTATTTCACTTTAATTTCACTAAATAATTGAACAGCACTCGTTTCACTGGCTGCATTTTCACGGGCACAGTCAATACGAATACACTTTGACACACACGCACACACACACACACGCATTTGAATGAAAAGTGAAATTTGTGGGAAAACATATGGTCGGAAAATGCTTAGCTTTTGTGCTTGCATAGCTTTTCAGTGCCATGCAGCTTTTTGCGAGAAAAATTTAAGCTTGTTTTTAAATGGAATAACACGAAAATATTTATTTGTTTTATTGGTGCTCAGTACCTAAAACGCCAACTAAATTCGAAAACTTTCAAATTAGGGCTGACACAACTCTGTCTGAGGTTACTCTTAAAGCACACCATGCTTTTTGGAAGATCGTCGTTGTTGTTGTTGTAGCAGCATACAAATTCCCTAAAGACTTTTTGGGGAGTGTTGCTGGAGTAACAGTCCTTGGCCAGATATAAATCTGGGTTGTTCCGGTTACGTAGACCCGACTGTCGTGGTAACGTTGCAAGATCGTAGGAGAGTCTGCTTTCTCTTTCCGACTGCAGAATATTGCAGACCAAAGCACCAGCAAATTCAAGAATGATAGAATACAAGATTGCGCCGATCAGAGAGGATTTTTGAGAATAACTTTTGTGTGACGTCACACTGGTGCAATTGCGAGAGAGAAATGCCAAAACGTGAGCAAGAATGGAAGAAGAAGAAAAAATGTTGCAAGGAAAACGTAAACAAGTTGCACCAGTGTGACGTCATGCAAACAACGATTCTGTCAAATTCGTTAAGGGAGGAATAGCGGTCCAAGATCGGCGCAACCTTTGTATTCTCTCAATCGTGCAGCAAATTGTTAATACTCTCTAAAAAGTGCATTATGACTAAGGTTCAAGTAAATTAGTAACACTTGAAACCAACTAGTGGTCTATGTGAGACCTCAGGGATCAGCCCAGCTAACCTCATATTACTGAACGGTCAACAATATACATATGTTTATCTGTACCCTAAGAAGAAAAACAAGAATATTGAACGACCATCTGCAAGAATTAAGAGCCAAAATAAATTGAAGTAAGCGCGGCGATTCATATTGGAAGCATACCAGAAAATTCTGAAGGTCAAAAGAAAGTTTACTCTGCGAAAGTGAGTAAGACAAATGCTCTATTGGCACCCAGAAAAGGGGTATTTTGCCTGACGTTAGCGCTTGGGTCTCTACACTTAATCATAGAGCAGGTGGCGAGAAGACATTCAGTATAGAATCGCAGTCTAGAGCGCAATTTTGAAAGGCATCTACAGACTACATAGATACAAAGAAGGCTAGAACACCACAGACAGGGTGTACCCTCAGAACTAGGACATCAATGACAATTTGAAGGTATCCGAGCACATTTCAAGTTAAAACCATCAATATATATGCGGAAACTAAACTTAGCAGGAACTATCACAATCCTCACTGGTAGCCAGCCCATTTCATCATTCGGCGGCCACATCCCCAATTGGCCTTGGGCACTTCTTGGCAAAGGGTTCATATATAAAGCTCAAAAAAGAAAGAATATTAAGCAGAGCACAGCATCAGAGGTGCTCAAGTGGACTACGCCAAGAGGTTACTGGGTGGGTATAGTTTAAAAAGATTCCAACTACACTCATTCTTTTATGACACTTTTGACTCAAGGGTCACTTGCAAAAACTAGATATTTAGTTAACCAATCTCTGCTGCTTCTGCGATTCGATTAAAGAGACAACTTTAAACTACCCCCAAAGTATTAACATTTATTTATTAATTTTCATTTTGGGCCGGGATTGAAAAGTATCACTTACATATATACATATGCATATACTTCTATTCTACTTTTCGAAGTTCTGCCAGATATTTATAATCAATTGATTCAGTCAATCGACTCTGTTGCTATCGTTGTACAGCTATGAATGCGTAGTCGAAGGATTTTTTCAGTGTAGCATCATCGTGGACGGATAATCTCCGGCTTTAATTTGAGAAAGTCTCTGAGGTTTTACAAGAAATTATATATAAATTACTCTTATTAATATCTTTTTAGGATTTCATAGTTTTTATAGTCCCACATTTATAATGTCTTTAATTTTTTTCAAAGTCGCTTGGTTTCGAAAATTTTCTAACCTTTCAAACTTCCACTTTCGCTGGAAAAAGTCATAATCAGAAACACTATTCCATAAAAAAGGGCATTCCGACACTCCCACTTATAACACTTTTTGCTTATAACCGTTTAGGCGGTTACAGCGTCAAATAAGAGGAAGAAGAAATTTTATTGACTTCCCCCTAAATTGAAGGCGGCAGCTTCTAGAAAACTATTTTCTTTCTACACTCAAATCGTCTTCTGTTCAGGTCTGTATGTATATAAGTATTTCCGTATTAATTATCAATATTTTTTACCCAAATATTTAAAATATTTGACAGTGACATTTTTAACCATCTTACCTTTCGTTTCTTTACGCCTCAAATGCTGTTTGCTTTGTTTGTTGCCGAAGGCGTTAACTTACATGTTCGCTACTTTGTATCTTTGTATGTATACCTGACCTTGGTTGAGATCAAATCATTATCTAATATCATTTAGTTATTGTGATCAAATGATCATTTAATAGGGAAGTCACTCAAAATGTAAATATGTATTCAATACTCTATAGTAAGTTATTGCTTTGATTGCATATCATTAGAAATGTAAACAAACCCAACCAGCGGCTGTCATAGCAAATAAATACAAAATTTACATTCGCGACGAACTTCATGCCGCCATAAACACGTTACTGTTTAGTAAAAATGCGCTCTGTGACTACTAAAGCAAAAGCAAACGGCGAGCGAAGGAGCGGACCGGCCACCTGAATGCATTCACAACTGCAGCAATGCGGGTAGCCATTGGGCGCTCAGTGTTATCGAGTTTCTAGAATGCTTCAATAACTGGCGATTAGGTGATTGCCCCTTAACAAAACCGTTGTTGGTTTTTTTCAGCGAAAGCTCAACCGCGCAATAGCCACCGCAACAGTAAGCTCTACTAACCAGAGACATAACTATTATAAGAGAAAAAAACTAAAAGTCAATCAATAATTGTTATATTAAGATAAATATTTTTCGAGTAATCTATAATTATTGTTCAAGGACTTATATTATAACAGTTCTTTCATAATAATTATGTGTGAGAAAATTTTTTTAAATCATCCACAACTATTAATTTAAGACTTATATAATAAAAGTCTTTTCATTATAATTATCAGTGAGATAAATATTTTTGAGTCGTCCAAGACTTTTATTTTGAGACTTATATTATAAAAGTCTATTCGTAATAATTATGAGTGCGAAAAAATTTTGTAACGCTTAAAAGACGGGGCTAGTTAGGGGCCAGCTCGGACCTAGTTGGGGAGTAGTTTGGGATCAGTTCAGACCAGTTCAGGACTATATATACATACTTAATATAGGCCCTAACCTGTCCTAAACTACTTCTCAACAAGTTCCAAACTGTTCCCGAACTTGTCCCCAACTAGTCCCGAAGAAGTCCCGAAATTGCCACAAACTAATCCCGAAATGGTCCGGAACAAGCCTCGTCTTTTAAGACTTAAAAAATTTTTTTCGCACTCATAATTATTATTTAAAGTCTTTGAAGACCTAAAAATATTTATCTCGCTGATAATTATTATGAAAAGACTTTTCAAGTCTTAAGATAATAGTTGTCGATGAATTAAAAAAATTTGTTCACACATAATTATTATCAAAAGATTTTTATAATTCTTTCGAAAATTTTGATGACATTTTTAAAACTCTACCATGAAATAATTAATATTCTGGGTCTCTACTACTAACTAGTACACGTAATTTCAAATTACTCACTTTAACTGAGCTAATTATGTTTCTCATGGAACTTTTTGCAGTGATTTCAATATTTCAGTCAAACCTCATATCCCTTTTTTACACAACTGAGAAACTAAAATGGCGGTTCAATGTGCTGGAGATGTCAGTTTCCTAAAAAGATCGATGCAACGATACATTGACTATTTATACATCGATGATTTTTTTCCGACATCCCTACGTGGGAGAGCAAGCGCGATCGAGCGCGGAAAGAACTCGTCTCAGTAGAAGCGAATGGCGCTCAGCCATGCATAACTTAAGTACTCCTACACATGTACGTAGATAGTCAACCGGAAAGTGTGCTCAACGCTCGGAAGCGCGTCGATATACCGATTTTAATTGAAAATTCAAAACATGTTTTACTCATTTTGCCGTTTGATCTATTTGCAAAGCGTCGCCAATGTCTGCATATGCATATGTTTGTATGTATGTATGTACATGCATATGTTTGTATGTATGACATACATTGTGTCTATATGTATGTATGTATATATTTAGCATAGATTTTTTTGTAGGTCGTCTGTCGATGCGCATTGTTTTACCATTTTTTGGTGTTTGTTTAATGCGTCGTTGCCTTTTCGATTCAGCCTTTGGTTGTTTATTGATTACTGTGATGGCGCAGCGCGACGCGTCTGCCGTTGTCGATGTCGGCGACCTCGCCGCAATCGATTTTGATTTTGATTTTGGCTTTGGCTTCTGTTTCTACTTCTTTGGCGATAGCAAATCGTATGTCCGTATTATGTGCAGTGTTTTTTTGTTGAGCTCATTTGAATCGAACGCATTTGCATTGCATTAATCAAAAGCGAATTTGTCAGTTCAGTTCTTGCGCGAGTGCGGCGCGCGATCGTGCGTGCTAATCATTGCAATAGATAATATTAAGCCGCGCGTGATCTTAACAAATCGTGGTCTCTTTTTTGTATTCGAACAGTAACAAAAAAAATAAAATTACACACAAAATATGTGTTTCTTCGTTAATCTTTATTAGATTAGATTTCAGCGCTATTGGCGCGCTTTGTTGATAAGNGCATTTGCATTGCATTAATCAAAAGCGAATTTGTCAGTTCAGTTCTTGCGCGAGTGCGGCGCGCGATCGTGCGTGCTAATCATTGCAATAGATAATATTAAGCCGCGCGTGATCTTAACAAATCGTGGTCTCTTTTTTGTATTCGAACAGTAACAAAAAAAATAAAATTACACACAAAATATGTGTTTCTTCGTTAATCTTTAT